GCTAGCACCCATCACACTGTCACCAAAAAACACCCATCATGCTCATCACCACCATTGTCACCGCTCACCACCACAACCCACCCGTTTGCCGCTACCACCACAATCGCCCCCACCACTACCTTTACTAACCACCGTCATCATTGCCCACCACCATCACTACTAACATCATCATCGTCGCCACACACCACCACCACAACTACCGCCACCTATGATTGTCACTATCACCATCATCATCCAAAATTCACCGCCACCATCATCGTTGTGACCCACGGTTGTCACCGCCACCACAGTTGTCGCCACTCACCACAATCATCATTATTATTTCCCACCATCACCACTGTCATCCATTATCATTATCACCGCTCACCACCACTACCTCAATAACTAATACCTCAATAACATATGTCTATGATACAAAAAATTTACGATAAATATATATAAATATATGTTTTTGAAATTAATACGAAATTAAATTTGTGTACCAAATAAAATATTAGACCCGATTAAATTAATAATAGTACAATATAATATTTAATTCACTTACAATATGTCTACCAAAACAAATTCAAAAAAATTATCTTGATTTGTTGACCTAATTAATCATAATTATTAAATTATTGTTGAATCTTAACATATACTAGAGCCTACGAATAAATTAATGACAATTAATAAAATCAATAAATTATGCCGGTATTTTAGGAAGGTCCAAGTAGCACTGTTATTTGCTAGTGAAGGTTAGAATGAAGAGTTACTTAAAGTCCCCAAATGAGATCCTAACAACATGGTTCAACGTACAACGAATATTTCTTCTAATTATCCATAGGTGAAAAGAGATTAGTTACAAAAAAAAAAAACTTCCTTATACTATGAGCACTTACAAATCACCTATTTATACTTTAAACTGTTGCACTCAACCCATTTTGCCATATCTTTTGTTCGCCAACAAATTCCACCAAACTTTAGAAAATTGTTCGTATATGTATACAAACATTACTACTTATACATATATATATATATATATATATATATATTTCAAGGTAGGGGGGATTTTGGGTTTTGTTGTGAATTGTTGGAGAACTAGTGAGCTTCTGTGGGTTTGTAATTGTAAACCACAGTAGCATGTTGTAATTGTAAAGCATGTGCAAGAAGACAAAATTGCCTGATTGCAACAGCTTCTGAATATAAACTTGACATCGCTGGGATTTTTTTCCTCCCCTTCAGTCTAAACATCCTCGTTTGGTTTCTTTCCGGACTTTTAATGTGATATTCTGAAGGATGACGATTGATGGTTACACTTACAAGCATGGATATTGGGAATTGATGGTTTGATCTTGCATCACATGTAACTCCTGAATAACAACACCACTTGCTTCATTTTGCAGGTATTGAATTGACACAGGATATATTCGTGCTGGAGAACCAAATTCCGTTTATTCTGTTAGAAGAAATCCAGAAAGCTATCCGAACCGAACCCCCTTGTGCAAATGATAACGGGAAAACAACAGTGATAGTTTCCAATGATGCGGAAAAATGGTCAGTTTCCGATGATGCTCAAGTCATTTATAATTTCTGCGAGGCACACTCTCCACTTAAATTGATGGAGAACCGGCTATATCAGTTTGAACACAGACCTGTCCATCTGCTGGATTATATGTACCATTTAATTGTAAATTATCGGAAACCTGTGGTAGAGTCTTCTTCATTGATCATATCCGTAAAAACTGACTGTTGATTTTTTGGGGAACACAGAAAACATGCTACAACTCTGCACTTTCTTTAGGAATTGGAGGACCTGCTGTACAAGCACTTCAGAAACATATACAGTTCATACAAGCATTGCCATGGGAGAACATTCGATCTCTATTTCAAAAAATTGATATTGATGGAAATCAAAATCCAGTAGAAGACATCGAGATTCCTTCGGTGTCAAGCCTACAAAAAACTGTGGGAATAAGGTTCACCATCACAGAATTGGGAATCAGGGGCATCAAATTCGATGAAAAAAACACTTACTTGACACCTCCCTGTGATCACTCTGAATGATAACTCAGAAGTTATATTAAGAAACTTGGTGGCTTATGAAGCTTTGTCTATGCCAGTTGGGTCTACCCTTGAGCTTGCAGAATATGTCGATTTGATGTGTGGGATTGTTGATACAGTGGAGGACGTGAAGATCCTCCGGTAAGAGAGAATCATTGGTGGCGATCTTTCTGATGATCAAATTGCAGATATTTTTCACGGGATAAAAAAATCCACTAGCATGAATAGGAAATCTAAACTGACGAGAGCTATTGATGAAGTTAATAGGCAACACGAAAATAGGACAAGGATGAATGCATGTAGATTCATCATGAAATATTTGAATTCCTCGTGGAATTTTGTTCCAAACTTCATGGAAGGTTTTATCACTTTCTTCTATCATCGTGGTAATCTTGCTGCAGACTTTGCAGGCGTTCTGTGAGATCTATGGATGTAGCA